TTGCTTTTCCAACATGGAGTAATTTATTTTGACAAGACTATTAAGTGCCAACGACTAATCGCTAAGCGTAGTAAAACGATCGACAAATAATATACATGCAAACCATAAAATGGGTTGGTCATCGATAAGAAATACCTGTAAAGGAAATTCTGGATATAAAATGCCTTTGAACTTTTTATTTCTGTATAACAAAAAAGAGACTAAATCTAACCTGTGTTTATATTATGAGAGTTTTTTATTTTGCTTAAAGTCGCTTTTAATAATGTGTAATCATGTAATCATCAGGATACAATTATATTCTACAGTTAGTATATGAAGTGAACCATTTCTATCGCTATAAATACATGTACATATATGAATTTATGGATTTGTGCCATGTTTTGGTTCGGCTGCCCCTAGCATTCTTCCAGCCGTCTCCTGTGTGACACAAGTTGACAAAAGCTAGTCGTTCCTTCTGTATCCGTGCTTAGATCTCGTCAGACACCAGGCCATCAGCACTGATGAATCTCCCAGGATAAGTGAAGCGGTCAACATGCTCAACTACTTCACTCCCTATCACTAGTTCAAGTGCCGATACAAGTCAATCTTGAAGCAACATTCTGCATTTCGATGGGGAGAATCGCATCCCGAACATGCTTGCATTGTTGCTTAGTGCAGTCAGAAGACTCTTAATTTTGTCAGTGTCTTCACCAAGTAGAACTATGTCACCGGCATATTCTAAGTCAACCAATGAATCTCTTCGTAGAAGGTCCACTCCTGAAAATTCAGACGAAGATAAAGTTATATCTAGAAGCAGGTCTGTGAAAAAGTAAACAAGAATGAAGAAAGTGGACATCTCTGACGGACACAACTTGAAGCAATTAATTCCGGTGACAGTTCTACATAAGCCCTCACTCGACCTTTAGTGTTCGAGTAGAGAGCTTTTATAAGGTGAATGTGCTTCTTTAGTACACCTTTAAATGACAGACATTGCCACAGAACCTGACGATAGACGGGATCAAATGCCGCCTTAAGGTCGAGAAATACCATTATTGTGGGACATCTGAACGTGTGTCCATGTCCTAGGACCTAACGTAGTTTGAAAATGTGGTCTATACATTCACATCTCGGTCGAAAACTGGCCTGGTTTTCTCGAGCATGCTCTTTACGAACTCTAGTTAAGCGTTGAAGTATTGATGAAGCAAATATTTTAGACACTATATTAGTGAAACTGATTACTCTGTGATTGTCACAAGATGCCTTTTGTTCTTTCTTTTAGACCGGAGCAATGAGGGATTGAGACCAGTCAAATAACTCGACCAGTAGTTCTTGACTAGAGAGCCTGTACAAGGTTAATGCGACTTTACAACAGATACAAATGTCTATAGTATTAATAGTATTCGCTATTAAGTTAAGCTTCATTTTGTTGTCCCATTTTCATGATCATAGCCGAAATTTTAAAGATAACGACTTACACTAAGTTACAAAACACGAAAATTTCAATTTTACAGCCCACTGAGGTGTCTTCAACAAATTGGTTTAATGGATAATTTAATTTACAATAGTTTGAATTGTACCGCTGTTGATATTCTTGGTTGAATTTAAATTAATCTTAGTCAGCGTATGTGCAACCTGTACAACTTGCCAAATACTGCTGCTATTTCGAAAGTTTTTATAGAATAGACGGGACACGGTGAGCGGCGGAACCGTGGACTCTTTTTATCCAGATGTAGCTTCATCCTATGAGTGGTACTCACACTGAAACTCTAGCCTAACACCTTTCGAATGTGGCTTTCTGGACTCAGTACCTCATTAGATAAGTCATTTTGCTTTTGTAGTGAAAAGCATCATGTTTGAGTCCCAACGTAAACATGGATGCATGGATCCAAGTATATCCATAAGAAGAGTTTCAAATAGATAAAAACGCTCCACCAGGATTCTGTTCCAAGCCTCATATCATGTATACTGTATTTTTATGATTATGAATAAAATATAATTCCCATATTCTGTCTGTCTAAAGAACATAATATACTCAGGATATTTATTTTCAGATTACTGTTTCCTCCTGCGTACCATTACAAAATCTTTTAAAATTGTTTTGTCTAAGTAAATTTAACCACCAGTTAATATTAGTTATCATCATGCATCATCTGACTGAAGCTTAAAGGCATCTAGAAATGGACTCTGACCTGGATTTAATTGATCTCTAACAGTCACATATAAAAGGTATTTTAGTGTTAATTGTTGAATTAAAACACAAACTAAATCTATAAAAGCATCCAACAACTGTGTGTGTTTAGTTGATGTTATTCAAGTCTTAAGGATGATTGTTTTTCATATTCACTCAAACGGTTCCGCTTACTTGAATGATAACACGAAAAGTTCCATTTAGTCACTTGATCAACAGGCAATAAGCAGATAGTTAAAAAAAAAGAAAATTCTCATACATTCTTCCCTGCACTCATCTTCGATGATTAGAGATTTGAAAGTGTCGAATTATTTGGACATTTTAATAATCACACAGTTGAAGATGAGGCTACCATTACCAACTTCTGTACATTTAGCTGCAAAAATGTGAATATTAATTTAGTTTTTCGATTATAACAATTTTGCTCAATGCTTTTAAACAATAATTTATTCAAGCTTCAACTATACTACGTCTTAATGAGTTCAGTCATCTTTTTCTTCCTATCATGTTGCCTAATTTCAGTTTGTGTTTTATACTGTCCTAATCATTCTAAGATTGAATTATTGAAACATAACAACCTATCAAATTTGTATTTGTTTAATCTATTTCTTCTAATACTGTTATTATTGATGCGTTTACATAAATGACTCGTGTATAAAATAAATCTGGAATACTTATAAGTAGTGCGTCTTCAACTGACATTGTTACTTTTCAGTGATTTTTAGACTTCAGTGGCTTCTTTGACTTGATAAATCTGACTAGTTTCAAGTGATCATTAGGTCACAGATAGTGTAATCTATAATGAGAAACTATTGATGACATATTTTAAAGTCCATTATATTGATTAGGAAATATATTCAACATTGATCTTCTAATTATATTTTATATACATACACAGTATGCTTACATACTTTTTATTTTTCAATCTCATTTGTTACTTTTGATATTTTCTTAATTTTTTGGTTCCAAAGTACTATTAGTGTTGTTTAAAAATCCTCCCAGTGCTCAAACACTAATATATGAATGAATAATATACTGCTCAACAAATTCTCTTCTCATCCTACAATGATTTGTCTAAATTAATGATTCGAAAATTGGCTAAGCTTCAGTCAAAGTACATCATTTATACAACGAAATAGAGAGAGTTCTTGGTAGATCAATGATGATGTGAAACCAAATGATAATAATACGAAGATATGTGAATGAAAATAGGAAACAGGATAATATTTGACTAAGAAAGGTTTTATGCACAATAGTTAAACTACGTCATTCTACAGTTAAAATTACTAATGATTAATTGACAATGAGGTTGGCTAGGATAACAGATGGGTCGAACTAATTTATTTTGTACACATGGTTATTGCTCCTGCAGTTGGAAGGACTTTAAGTTTGACTGACTTTAGTAACAAAATTACTAACCCGATAAATCATTGAGAAACATTGATTTTGCTGGCGTTATTAACAGTTTGCACTTAGTTAGCTAGTTTCAGACAGTTTGCTATCTTTACTACACCTTTATTTAGCTACTCTAGAAAGCGTTCATGAACATGCGAATGCAACCAACATAAATGCATACTCCTCTGTCGGTGTCCGTAATTAATAGTTGGAAAAGTTGAAATATATTACTCAGTATTGTCCACCGTGGTGCAAAATGAATTTACTGTTCATCCTTACTAAATTATACTTCCTCTGATCTATAAAATCAAATGAATGACGAATACTGCATAAGCACTTTTTTAATCAACTTAAATTGTGCTAATTTATTCATGGTTCAAAGTCAACCTATATGCTTATAGATTGTCTGTTAAGTGATTAGATATTCGGTTCAAAACAGATCTATGTAATTGCAAATCTGATCAATAAATTCAATTATTTCGAAATCCATGTGATTATGTTCTTTTAAGAACTATGTAACAGGTATAATACTCAATGGGTTACAACTGGGTTTATTGAATGTCATAAAATCTGTTCTGATCTTCTATATTGAAAGACTATTAACTCTCCAATCTACGCCTGACAGTGTTCAAACTACATTTTTCTGATTAGATGTTGACTATCATCTGTTTTTTTCTACTCTATGTTATTTTTTTAACTAATATTCATTGACCTACAGTCAGTGCTTTTATATCATTTGAACAAGAAATGACCTTTTCTTGATGCCACAATTAAGCTATGTGCGTTTAAGATGGTAAACAGTTTTATTTGTTGCTGCGATTAGTAAAACTTTGCTTGAATATAACAATGGCAGAAATAAACTACTAAATCTTACGAGAAAGTTGAAGATAATCATATCATATATACCATTATTAGTGACCTTGAGAAATCCCATGTTAATTAAATCACCGATTATCTGTTATATATTACAAGCATTCCAACTGGTATAAGTGTCTGTAATCAATAATCCTGAATTAATTAATGTCTATCTATTATTTCTAGTCAATATATATAACATATATAATTAGAAATCTGTCATCTGTCTTGATAGATCTCAATCATGTTTTGTTCCTGTGTTATTAATAACGGTGAACTTGTCTAAAATAGAATGAATAATAATTTGTTTTTTTACTATGATAATTAACCTTAATCACTGATTGAAATAGACATCTTGATATTATTATATTCAATGTTCTGTACTTCATTGATATTAACGATGATGACAATGATGATCACTTTAATATTCATTATACTATGATGCACTAATCTGTTAGTAATCATTTTAATCATTGATGATAACTAATTTTACATTGTTACGTAAATCTCTCATTCTCTCTCTCTGTAATACTGTGTTTATTTCATTTTACCTTATAGGTTAAATGAACCAGATACATTTGACATGGAACAATTTGTTGATTGGATATCATTTGGCTTAAAGTTAACACGTTTAAAACATTCTGCTAATAATTTAAAACTATGGATAAATAATTATTTTGTATTATTTAAAAATAGTTCTAGTTTACAATCATTGAAATATATATCAGAATTTGTATGTGGTTCACCAGCTGATCAAAATGATTTAGGTCGATTGTTTATTGAACTCGATCAGGCTGCCACTATCATTGAAGAAACTGAGTCGAGTCCAATCAATACTATGCCTATACTTGATCATTTAATGTCACAATTTAATGATCATTTTGATTTATCGACTGCAGTCAAGCTGTTGACAGAAAAACCATTACCACATTTTAATGCATGTCCAATATTGATACATTTATTAAATTCAAAACCATTTCTCATCACAATGGGTCGGTTACGTTATTTTCTATTTGGAAATCTAGCCTATTATCCATCGAATCAATTTACTGATCAAATAATCTATAATATGGGTGTTTATACACGTTTATTAGGCAATTTTCGTGCATTAATCATGTTATATTCCAATGAATTACGTCCATGGTTAACAAATCTATTGAATAATCAAACAAATCTACTTAAAATAACAAATCAATTGAAATATTGTCAAGAGAATAAATTAGATATGATTCCAAGTGAAATTCAAGAAGTTTGTCAATATTTTTTGTATGCACTAAAACAAGATACAATAGAATATAAAAGTATACATTTAACTTGGGAATTAATATTACGTATCTGTGATTTGTTTATATCAATACTCCGGGAATTATTAACTGATTGTTTTCAAATTGATCAGAAATTTATTGCGTTTAATAAACGTGATGAATTTGATGATTATATGTTAAAAAATCAAAATAATCTATTATCATCACCGATTGGTTTGATTTTTGATCAATTACCGAATTATTTCAATGAAACCATTGATCATCATCATCATAATCCAGAGATGTTATTAAAGAAAATTACACATTCACCTAATATTTTAGCTGTTACATTACGTAAAAATCCATTGTATATATATGAAACTAATAATTATGAATCGACAACACAATACACCATCCCAATGCCATTACGTGATCCACAAAAAGATATGAAATATTTCACTAGTGGTTTTATTGATGTACAAGAACAATTAAGTCGTGCATTTATACAAACAACATCAGAACAACTGAATGCTACCAATGTTTATCATCAATTATTCAATGATATTGGCATAGAAATGAAAATGTTTCCAACTGGACCATATTATTTTGATGCAATCCTGATGAATATAATATTTCTTTTACCACAATTAATGATACTTAGTTGGGTATTATCAATTATATTAACTGTAAAATATATGATTGATGAAAAAGATAATCGTTTAGTTCAGTTTTTACGTACATTCGGTATAAATTTGTCAATGAATTGGTTAGCATGGATTACTATATCATTTAGTTTAATGACTATGTTATCTATAGTGATTGTATTAATTTTAAAATATGGAAAAATTATTCCATTGACTGATTTGTCGTTAATTTATTTTATTTTATTAAATTATATTATATCATGCCTTTTCTATTGTATCTTATTTACATTATTATCGGTACGATCAACCATAGCATCGATTATAGCTGGTATCACATATTTTTTATTGTTTATACCTGCTGGAGTATTATTAAAATATGATGAATTACCAAGTGATGTAACATTGATACCGTTTTGTTTTATTCCACAAGTAAGTTATTCATTAAGTTGGATATTTATCAATCGTTTGGAATTACAAGGTGTTGGTGCACAATGGTCAAATCTGTGGCATACATTTCATTCACATAGTATTTTATCATTAGGTAGTTCAATTATATTTCTATGGATTACAACTATTCTATTTGGTTTAGCAACATTTTGTGGTATACCATCATTAATCAAATGTTATCATTTATTAATGCATAAACTGGAATCAAAAAACAGAAATATTTTTAATTATTCTACAACAATGAAAAAGAGAAAAAAACGTAAAATTAGCAGTGGTAATCAATTAGACATGAATGTGAATACAACAACAACAACAACACATTTATTAGAGAATTCATTTCAATCAGATCGACAGAAATTATTAAATTCTAATGTGATCATATCATCAGTGAATAATAATCATAATAATACTGATCAGTCGCAACCGATTACAATACCACCATCAGTGATTGTTGATAATTTATGTAAAAAATATCAGCTATCTAATCGTCCAGCTTTATGTAATGTAGATATGAATTTTTATGAAGATCAAATCACAGTGATATTAGGACGTAATGGAGCGGGTAAAACTACTCTATTGTCTATTTTAGTTGGAATACTTCAACCTACATATGGAAAAATAATAATGCATGGTCAAGTAATGAATCAACGTTTAGATATTTTAAGTAAAATGTTAGGTTATTGTCCACAATATGATATTTTATATGATTCATTAACAGTTACAGAACATATACATTTATTTGGTACATTAAAAGGAATGAGTCGTTTAAGTATCAATCAAAAATTAGATGATTATTTATGTAAACTTGGTCTAGTTGATAAACGAAATGAACAAACTTGTCGGTTATCTGGTGGTCAACGTAGAAAATTATCATTATTTTTAGCATTTTTGGGCAATTCTTCGGTAATATTACTTGATGAACCAACTGCATCGTTAGATCCATTTTCACGTAGAGCTGTTTGGGATTTATTGAAAACATTACGTAAAGGACGTACAATTATTTTAAGTTCACATCATATGTATGAAAGTGAATTGTTAGCTGATCGAATTTCAATTATTTCTGAAGGTAAAGTACTTTGTTCCGGTTCGAGTTTATCATTAAAATCATCTTATGGTTCAGGATATCATTTATCATTGGAAATTGATTCATCGACAGTGAACAATTCGTCGTCTTCTAATGCCAATAAGAATGATCATTTTTCAGAATTATTACAAGCTATCCAAATTCATATTAGTAATGCTCGTTTATTACGTCAAAATTTAAATAAACTAACAATTTATTTACCAACTTGTGATGTATTAACTGGAAAATTTACAAGTTTATTTAAACAATTAGATGAACAGGAATTTCAACAATTACATCATATAAAACATTATGAAATTGCTGATTCTTCACTGGAAGAAGTATTTCTTTCAATTACTGGTGATGCACAAACAATCACAACGAATTCTACAAATTATGAAGATATATCAGATTATGATGATGATCATGATCATCGTCAATATGGTCATATTGAATTTAATCATAAATCAAATAAAGACACCATTCAATTTACACATAATAATTATTCAAATCAACAGTCACGAAAGAAACCTTCACTGTTGAATATGATCAAAGCTATGTGTTATAAACGTTATATCTACTTGAAACGTAATAAATTATCATGGATTATTGAATTTATATTCCCCTGTTTATTAATTATCACTGGAATTGGTTTTTTAGAATATTTTAAACCAAATGATATACAACCTATCATGGATATTAATCATTGGCTTATGAAAAGTCGTCATATTGATGAATCAGTACATTTCTACGCTAATGATATGAATCTACAATCAAATGAAAAACAATCTTTTCAATCTTATACCAAAATATTCAATGATCCATTAAGTTTAACTGGTGTTGGATGTATTTCACCTAAACTACATTCTTTTCAACCACAAATCAATGCTAATTGTTTAATACAAAAAAATGGACATTTAAACATAGATAAAAGCTATTATGCAAAAATTTGTAAAACATATTCATCAAAAAATCAATTCCCTTGTTATCCATTAGCTACTGGTGATATACTATTGAATTTAAGTGATACTGATATATCTGATTATTTATTAAGTAATTCTAAACTTCTGTACAATATAATGTTTGGTGGTATTGAATTAAAAACTGTGGAAAAATCTGAATTAAATCAAATGTTTTATAATTTATTTTCAAAATTAGGCAATTATTCAACAATTTTACAAAAATCCAATAATTGGCAACAATTTCTTACAGATTTACGTTTCATTCTACCACCATCCAAGTTAATTCGTTTATGGTATGATAATCGTGGTTACATATCATCAGTGGCTTATTTAAATCTATTACAAAATTTTCAATATCGTATGGTATTATCCATAGGATTAAATGAATTAAGTAAACAAAATAAATTCATCATTGATCATAATAATGTAGTGTATCCAACTAATTCAGGCATAATTATCACTAATCATCCATTACCATATCCAGATGCATCAGAGTATGCTAAAAACAGTGTAGATATTAAAGCTGACTTTTTATTATCTCTATTTCTTATTTTAGCCCTGTCATTTATTCCAGCTAGTTTTATCAGTCTACCTGTTTATGAACGTAATAATAATTCAAAACATTTACAAAATTTATCTGGTCTTCAACCTTTTATCTATTGGTCAATAAATTATATTCATGATTATGCAACATATTTAATCTCTTCATCATTATGTATATTGATTATTGTAATTTATGGTAATTCAGCTTATATTCAATCAGATGCAATATATCCATTTATATTAACTATTTATTTGTATGGTTTAGCTATGGTTTCATTAATTTATTTGGCAAGTTTTCTATTTAAATCATCCAGTACAGCATTTGTATTAATGTGTGGTTTAAATTTAGTCATTGGTTCAGTGACTATATTTGTACGTTTCTTTTTGGAAATGCTTACATTTGATAGTGTCAATATGAAAAATACTGCTACTGCTACTAGTACTACAACAACTACAACAACAACAGCACAAATTGTTAGTCTTTGGTTACATCTGTCACCGCATTATTGTTTAAGTGGTAGTTTTTATACAATTGCATTAAGAAATTTTTTTCATAAAATTGGTATACCCTATAAAGCAAATAATTCATTATGGAATTTGTTACAAATTGATATGGGATGTTTATTGTTACATTCATTGATATTATTTATGATGGTGTTATTATTGGAAAAACGATTTTATTTTATACAAATTATATATTGGAAAAGAAATCCATTCAAATGGAATCGTTTGGCGAAATCACATAATAATAATATACATTATACAGATTTGGAATTAAATTTACAAGTGAGTTGTGTGTGTGTGTGTGTGTGTTAGATGTTGTTTTTCTTTCTACTGAAATCAGTTTACAATTGCTATTATTATTATTATTATCAGTCAGTCAGTTACAATGTAGAACTTCATACGTATGTACATAAGTTCAGGTTGCCATACCACATTAGCACAAAGACGCAAATGTTAAATCGAATCCCATAGTGATAGAGATAGTAGGGTTATTAATGATAATGAAGAAGACTAGGGTTTGAAGATATTATTCAAGAAGTATAATTCAGTGAGATAAGGTTAGAAAGACTCAGTGACTTCATGTATTTGTGCCATGTTTTGGTTTGACCACCCTTAGTTTTCTTCCAACCTACTCCTACACTACAAAACATAGCTCGTCGAGGCAGTCGGTGGTTAGGCATTCGTAACACATGTCCCAACCACCACAACTGACGAAGTTTCACCACTTCATCTATTGGTCTGCCATCCTTACCTAGTACTCGTTTCCTAACGACAGCATTGCTTACTCGGTTGTCCCACGGTATACGAGCAATGCCTATAAGACATCTATAATCGAATACTAGTAACCTATGAACATCTACTCTTAACGGCCATGTTTCGCATCCATATAGGAGAACGGAGCGAACTGCTGCGCAGTACACCTGTCCTTTTGTCAGCGAACGGATATCTCGCCTACACCACAAACGGCGTAAATTGGCAAAAGCAAATCGAGCTTTCTGTATCCGAGCTGAGATTTCGTCAGTCACCAGGCTATCAACGCTGATGAAACTCCCCAGATAAGTGAAGTGATCAACACGCCCGACTACTTCACTCTCTATCACTAGTTCAGGTGCCGATGAAACCCAATCTTGAAGCAACATTTTGCATTTCGTGGGGGGGGGGGTCGAAACCGCGTCCCGAACATGCCTATTATTATTATTATTATTATTATTATTATTATAAAGGAGATGATACAAGCATTTTCATAAATATGATCGTATTAGTTAGAAAGCGACATCACACCATCAACCGTGTAGTTAATAAGTGAAAAATTATAAGACTGCTTTGTTCAGCCTTACGTAGACTTTAGTTTAGAATTGTTCAAAGTTTTCTCTTTAACTTTTGCTTATTTCGTTTTGTCTTCATATCAGTCATTCAGTTAGTCAGTTACAATGTAGAACTTCATACGTACGTACATCAGTTCAAGTGGCTCATACCACATTAACACAGAGACGCAGTTGTCGATTCAAATCCCATAGTAGTAGAGATAGTAGAAGTGTTAGTAGTAATCCGAGAGATTAGGGTTCAAAGAAATTATCCAAGAAGTATAATCTAGGAAAACAAACTTAAAAGGAGAAAGATTAAGGTTTATAAGGAATCCAGATGATTAGGATTTGAGAGAAGCCAAATAATGAATGCATCTGCGCCATTGCAAACGGTTTTAAGCGATGTCAAACAGGGTCTGTAACCATCGATTACTATTATTTAGTGGACCCCAACCAAGTAGTCCACAGTAACCAACATGACTTGGTCCACTTGTCAGTGACTTCATGAATTTGTGCCTTGTTTTGGTCTGGTCGCCCCTAACTTTCTTCCAACCTATTCCTACACTACAAAACAAAGCTTGTCGAGGCAGTCGCTGGTTAGGCATACACACCACATGTCCCAACCACCTCAACTGATGAAGTTTCATTACTTCATCTATTGATCTGTCATTCTTACCTAGCACCTGTTTCCTAATAACGGCGTTGCTCATACTATGCTCATCATTCTTAAATAATTTTATTTTCAATTGTTATTTAACAATTCATTTACCTAATTTGAATTTATTTTTTTTTCTAAATCATCCACTACTTACAATGAAGTATATACTCAGTTCAATTTAGTAAATTTTCTTCTTCAATGAAATATAAACATTAGTAACTGAATTGTTATTTAATCTATATGAGGTTGAAAGTTTAACTCATTCACACATTTAAAATAATTGTTGATTTTAAGAAAAAAAATGCTTAAATTACTACTACTACTAATCTCAAGTATTCTTTAATAGCTTTGTTAATTCATAAAACAGAAAAATTAAGAGCTTTCTATGCAATCGAATCTTGTACAGTATTATTCTGTCTAGTATGAATTAATGTGAATCAACATTTAATATAACACAAAATGATTTTCTTTTTAAAATGTTTTATATTAAAAAAAAAACATTTTATTTGGATGTTGATTATATGTTGCTGTTTCCATTCGCATGGTATTACTTCGTACTGTGGTTATTAATATTATTATATTGATTAGTAATTCGCTTAGATTATGATAACATAAATGTTGGGTATAAATAGAAAAAAAGGAATAACTAGTGGTAAACATTATTCTCAAGATGATATACATTTGTTTACTATAGACAGATTATAATTTTATTCACTACATGATATTTTTATTATTGTAATGGAGTAGTTCTGTTCTTTGAGCTGAATGTTTTGGTTGTGGAACTGAGCTCAGAGAATGGAGCTCCACAGCAATTATCCAACTGAGCTGCGTATGTTTTTTATTTCCAATCTTTCCTTCTAACTTAATACACATGATTGAATAACTAAAGGTAAGGAGCAGTAGCGACAGTGGTCACATACTGAGTTTGATGAAATTAAAATATTTGAAATCATCAATCAATCATTGTTAGACCACCATTAGAAACCTGGAAGCACTGGACGGCCGTTTCGTCCTGGTATGGGACTCATCATTGGCAGTACGCATCCACGACACCTGCATCTCGCAGGATTCGAACCCAGGACCTTTAGATGATGATTTTAAATGTGGAAAAAACACTAATATCCATAACTCTAACTGAAATTAAAATAACGTGTTTAATTTTTTGAACTGTTTCATTGGGATTTGGCTAAAAATCATCAACTTTATGTTTGAGCGATAATTATATTTGACTGTAGCTATAAGTTCCGGTATAGTTTAATTTAAACAAATCTATTTTTGTTCTGGCGATGCATATATATATATATATATATATATATATAACAAGAGGTTATGATCTGTGTTGAACCCATTAAATATTAGAACGTACGCTGGTTACTTTATCATAAGACTGACGGACAAATCAGTCAAGACCATCTCATTAAATGAACTTTCGTAAAGCGTATTTTTAAACACTGACATAGAGAAAAGTTTGATGCATATTCAACTGTGTGCTATTTGTAAACAACAATGTTAAAAACGAAACTGTAAAGTTATGAAGTCGAATACGTTAATTCATAATCCTAATTGGTATGCAGTTCTGAGTGTTTAAAAAACGTGATACTTTAAACAGACATGGTTGTCCAAAAGAAAGGCTCATAGTGTAGTGAAGGAGAACACAGGTGAGGGCAACCGAATTGTATTTAGCGAAAATTACAGAGCTACTCAGTAAAATAGGAAAACCATATCGTAACCGTTAATTTGCAAACTTCAATCCATCATCAATCCATTGTCTGACAGTTCACTATTCATGCGTTTCATACGAATTCCATTGTGTTCCCACTCTTCCTTTCTTGACCTTCCCCCATCTTCTGCTGCCAGACATTACGTTTTCACTCGCGTCATATACTACCTATAAGTAGCGCACACCACATAAGTACGCATGATTTAGAAACTTTACATCAACATGAATAAGTTAGACAATAACCAGTAAATCTATTGGTTGATGAATAATCTAATTTATGCCTACAATAGTTATCATGATATAACTGTCCGTTGTCAACAATATACCAGACATATATAAAGTTGTTTAATCATTAGAATCAAGCTAATTTATTTTCAAATACTCCTGGTTTCTATCACTCAGCTTTCTTCGTTTTTTTGAATAAAATATACGATAATGCAATTGTCTATTTGAAGACAAATTTTTGTGTTCAATTTCCAATGTAGTAATAATGTATAAATATATTGAACATTGATATTTTCCTGTGTTACTTTGTTTATTTTACTGCCTGTTTATGATAGAAAAAGAACGAAGAACATTTATCTTTCAAGCCCCCATATGCAATTGAAGCCAAATCAGTGTGTAAACATTATTGGTCTCAAAAGAAACCAACAGTGGAAAATTTAAGCCTAACTATTCGATCCGGTGAATGTTATGGTTTACTTGGTGTAAATGGTGCTGGCAAATCAACAACCTATTCAATGTTAACTGGTCATTGTCCGCTGACACATGGATCAATTTATTTAAATGGTTATGATATAACATTGAATAAAGAGAAAGCATGTGAGAGTATTGGTTATTGTCCACAACAAGATGCATTATGTGAATTTATGACACCACGTGAATTATTGACATTTTATAGCTACTTAAGAGATCATCATCAACATCAACATCATCATCATCATCATCATGAGAAAAAATTCAATCATACTGATTATGTAAATAAAATGCTTGAATTAATTGGTTTACAAAATTATGCTGATTATTTAATTACAAATTTATCCGGTGGTAATAAACGTAAATTATCTACCGGCATTGCATTAATCGGTAATCCAACATTGATATTTCTTGATGAACCATCCACTGGTATGGATCCACAAGGCAAATATTTATTATGGAAAAATATTCAACATGCATTAAAATTAAATTGTACCATTTTGCTAAGTTCACATTGTATGGAAGAATGTGAACTGTTATGCAATCATATTGGTTTGTTAATACGTGGTAAAATACGTTGTACTGGTAGTCCGCTAGAATTGAAACAACGTTATGGTTTAGGTTATCAAGTGGATTTAGAATTTAGTACGAATGTTTTACAATTTACAGCAAATACTACTAATAATAATCATAATTTAGAAGCCTTATTAAATGACTATTTACCAGGTTTTAAATTACGTTATCCTTTATTAACTAGACAAGAATATCATTTTGCTAAAACACAACCATTATGGAAATTGTTTAATGCATTAGAAAATTTAAATAAATATCATTTCATTCAAAATGTTTCTATACGTCAATCGACATTAGAAGATGTATTCGTGAATTTTATTAGTATGTATGAACAGAATCAATTATTGTGATTATGTATGTAAAACACATGGTAGCATTAAATTTCTCAGTTATGCCAATGCCTTACTGACGTATATATATATATATGTATATATATATATATATATATGCCCATCTAATTGTAATTAGCACTGAATATAGTTTAAGTACAGTTGGGGATGTAACATCCCCAACAATATATCTCCCTTTCTTTGTGTTTGAATCAATCAATCTCCTCTTTTCAGTAATTTGTAATTCTACTTTTCACATTGTTCAATTCTCATTCAATTTTATTGTATGTTTTTATTGTGTACACTGTAATTTAAAGTTAAAAAATGATGTTTCATTGGGATCATTAAGAGCTGGATAGAATTATTGTTGGTTTTTATGTTTCATGCGCCTTTTTTTTTATTCTTCTTCTTTATTCACTGTGATATCTGTGATATTTTTTTTTCTTCACTTTGTTTTTATACTACTGATTATTTGAATGATATGAATAATATGAATAATCATAATAATATGTATTATATGATTTGGATTTTTTTTTAATTTGTCACATACATTTAAGAGATGATTTGTATTCAAAAACAACAAACAAACACTAGTTTGTTATTTTATTGTATTTCTTATTGAATAAATTTTATTTTTTTTTATAAATATATAAATATAAATGATAAAAAAGAATTTAATCTTCTACATAAATGGTGTAGGATCCTAATTGAGGTTTGGATTGAGGAATAACTGTGCAGGGAGGTTAGATACGTGCTATTGCCAGTTGAAATCCAACATAAGTGATTTGGGTAAATGACGGTTCTAATATTCATCATAAATATCAATGTACATCATTACCTAAACAAATATTACCACTCGGTTATTCCTTCAACAATTGTTCAATTATTCAAATCAACAACGACAAATAAATGATATTCTACCCCTCCTGGATAGATCAGATTCGTTTGACAGATAATATTTGGTTGCCTTATAACACAGAGTGCTTCCTATTCTGAAACAGTACTTCAATTCACAATCAAAATGCACAATTCCAGTCAAAGCAAACAAACCAATCAAAAGAGGAACAAATCAATATGTCTGTCGCCATGACCAAGTATCAGCTTAAACAACATAAATGTAGTTAAGAAAGAAACATCGAAATTCAGTAAAGGCAGAATAAATAGAAACTATAATAAAGTACAAATATTATCATCTCGAAATGGAATCGAACAGATTAACAAAATGTACAACTGAAGGAATCAATACTGACAAATTTCAGATGTATATATATATGGAGGGATTTTCACAAACAAAGCCTTCAAAAATGGATCTTACAGATCGTACATATTTTGTATTTATGAAATCACCTCTAGTAAAATAAGAATAGTAACAGATCAATAAAATAAACAATATTCATGATGATATTAATAATAAGTCTGTTAAATGAACGCAAGATATGAATTCTTATCTACTTCTAATAACCCCAGTCTTAATTGACACTACAACGTGAACACAAGAGAAAACGTGCGAAGTACGAGTGTGTGGTGTGCAAGATATCGCTAGTTTCGTGACGATTGATGTTCAAGGTGTTCTTAGACTTCGTAATTAGCTTGTCCAGACAATCGTTATTAAATAGCGTCCGATGGTTTATAAATCAGAAGGTGAACTCGAAGTCTTGAAGACGTTTATTTTGGCACACCACAATCATATCATCAGATTACAAGCATTCAAAGATAAATTCGTCATGCGAGTGCCGGAAAGCAAGCAAGTGAGCGTAATCGCGAATGAATGGATGAAGTGAAGTGGAGAAGGCTGGTGAACGAACTCCAAAAGATGAAGCATGACTAAGAATCTATAGTCAGACAAAAATAAGACAGACATTTAACGAGCTAGATGGGCATGCACACACATGAATAAAGCGAAGAATGTTTAACAAGGTCAAAAGACAAGTGGGACAAGTCATGTGAGCTAGACAATGAATGACACTACAAGCGCTTTACTTCAAGGTCACTTTATATACAGACGAGTGAGAATATTGATAGAGTTACTCACAACTTTGAGCTCTGTAGAGTTCGAGAACCACACCAAATAAAGCAGCGTTATGACTAACCATCCAGTCAGGACCGTGGCTCATGATTCTGTGTTCTCCAGATGTTTCTCCGAAGGTTCTTTTGCATGCTGACTGAATGAGAGGTTACTGGGCACTCCTAGACTTTTCTGAGGAGTATTTCGGAGCTCCCCAAGAGCTAAATGTGTAAAAAATCACTAAATTATTAAAAATGAATAAAACCCGACATACATGTCGTTCACTGCCAGCTTACTGATCCGGAGGTAAGGCATCTATGAAAACTAAAGATCCTGAGTTCGACTCCTGGATAAGTACTGCTGAAATGTCTCACACTAGAACGAAACGACCGTTCAAAGTTTCCACGTTTTCAGAGGTCATCTAAACTAGAGCAGTTCGTGATTTCAACTGTGAAAATCGCTCGATAGTTTTTCGATTAATTCAAATATCGAAAAGTGAATAATGATTGGGTTCATTTTACTACTGCTACTACTACTTAAATTGGCCTTCGCTATATCGTTATCACCTAGTTTCTTTATATTTTCTGTAGTGGCAAGTATTTCAATACAATCTTGAAAGCTAGGTAAGGGAACTTTCCAATTCATGCATTTTCATGACGTCTAAAATAAATATTACATATATATTACATATATACACATATATACACATAAATATTACATATGGCATGTGTGACTGATACCATAATCGATACGACAAGAAAAAATGTTTTCTGTCTAACGACTTCAGTTACACAAGAGGTAGAATGTCTCAGTCACAGCGTTTCAGATAATGTAGATTCAAGTTCTAGAAAAAGCATATCCTTTCCCTCAAGATGTCAGGTATACGGTCCTGGTAAGTGGCATGTAGATCGAAACCTAGATACGCGAGTCTGTGACAAAAACTTCTCATTATCCTACATCCTTAGGAGTACTCAAATGTTACTTAATTCATTAACCAACCAACTATTATTTTCATCGAATTAGATCTGTTATGAACGCGTTGGTCGATATTTTACTTAAAGTATAAAAAAATATAATTTTTAAAAGCTGAAAACACGAACTATGTCATGCATTGGTTTAGTTCAAGAATTCTAGCCATTTTTCAATCATTTCAATGTATATAAAACACTTATGGGACAATAAAATTGTAGGGAAGGAGAACACAGGTGAGGGCAACCGAATTGTATTTATCTCAAATTACATAGTTGATTGATAAAATAGGAAAACCATATCGTAAATCGTTAATTTGCAAAATATCAATCCATCATATCGAACTGGACTGTTCCTGTTGCAAACATCTAATCCATTGTCTGACATTTCACTATTCATGCGTTTCATACAAATCCTGTTGTGTTCCCGCTCTTCCTTTCTTGATCCTCCCTCATCTTCTTCTGCCAGACATTACGTTTTTACTCGCGTCATATACTACTTGTAAGTAGCTCGCACCACAAAATATCTCTTGAAGGTCTACAAGAAATGTCTGACATAAATGGTAATCGAAAAGGATGACTGAAATCCGTATACACACGTTAAACATATTGAATGTTTAACCTTATTTATTGTGTATAGTCCAGTTTGACACCGGATAAATATAATTTATGTGTATAGAACAGTTTTATCTCCTCTTGTGAATTAGGTTTAAATCCTACACAATAGGTTGTCAAATCACAACATTCACAACTAAAGTAATTATTTATAAGATTCACCGACACAAATCATCATACGATTAGATTTACAGTAATATTTCATTTCGTTATTCATTTAGGATTTACTTGTAAAGCATCTCTATTCAGTTGATACTATTCCAGGATTGGAAACATTTCTATTATTTGAATAATTTCGTTTTGTAATCGATCGCTTCAAAAATGTTAAATACACAATGAATTATTTGTTTGCCTAATCTTAAATTTCTAAATATACTTTAAGAAGAATAGATCGTAAATGTTTAACTTATTAAAAACTTACTTTGTGTATTGAAATAATTTTGATTACAAATCGGCATCAAACTTGAAAACTATGTAGTTATGCTTTAAGACTATTCAGTTATATATATGAATAGCTCAATATGAATGATTTCAACTTAAATCACTTATAATTATCCTGATAAATACAACATTGCTTAATTTCTGATACACAATTTACTGATCTGAAATACAGTTGAAGTACATTCAAAATGAAATATGATTGTTTTCTAGTGTTGCTGTTGGCTTTATGCCGCATATTTAGCCTGTTCGACGCTGTGGCTTATGTTAGTCTGACAGATCTTGATAAAATCTGTCGCTAAGCGAATTTCATACTAAACAATAAGTTGCTTCATAAAGACTATGTAGATATTTTAATCTAATTTTTTCCATTCGGTCGAACAGTTTTTAGGGTATTTTAGTATTTATAAATTATATATATATATATATATATATATATATATATATATATATATATATATTTATATATATATATATATAATCATTAAGTTTCAGGATGGTTACGGAACGGATAATCTATGAACCTATTGTCAGTCACCAGCTACCATGGGACTGCATCTCCTTACGTTGCTCAACTGTCTAGCCAAATAAACTTTCGAGTTAAAGGCCTCCAAATGTAACAACCTGCTTTGTTTGTAGGCGGTCAGACAGTATCCAAGCCTACTCATTAATTCAATAATTTATATTGCGCATAATAATTTAGATGACTCTTTGTAACAATATTTTCGTATTTAAGTAAGAGATAAACGGGGAAAAGCAGAAGGACCAAATTACTATAAACGAATCTCTTGACGTCTAAGCAATTAGTAAAAATTGAAAGGCGATTTGTTACATGATGTACTTAATTCAATAGAAGAAAAGAATTTGATTCAGATCAGTGATTCATGGAAAACAAACTATATATTGAGGACAAGTAATTAAAGGAGTGACAAGTTGATATGCTTGAAACTATTACAAGTTTACTTTTCTTGGTAAAGGAAGACAAAAGATGCAGT